AGCACCCAGCTTTGCACCCTCCAGTACCACACAGGAGATCTGGGGGTCCTTGGTGTTCAAGTAACAAGCAAAGTGGATCACACATACTTGATCACCCTTCCCTTTCTGAAAGAGCGCAACCTTTGCCATTACCTCCAAGCTCAGCTAAAGTCACCCTTGACTTAAAAGCAACGTTCAGCACCAGCAATGCCTTTCCACTAACACAAGTTATGTTCTGCTGCTATGAGGGACCTCTAGCGCAACAGGTTTTCCAGAGAATCCCACCAGAATAAAATTCATTTTCACATATCTGGAGTTTTTCCTTTGGTCTTGTTTTGCCCACTTCCTTTTTGACTACAGGCAAATGTTAAAAGCCACAAAGACATGGAATTCTCAGAAATCCAGGCAAGCACTCCCTTTGGCCATAATTATTCTGCGCTGCAGACGTCCTGAGCAGAAGGCTTAAGCAACAGACAGGCTCACTTTGGCAGTGCACGATGACCGACATGTTGCTTACTGAGGCCGTCTGCTTATTACTTCTCTTCCTCCCCTGGAATGTTAAGAGGGATTCACCGGAAAAGGGTTGAAGTTGTAAAGCATTAAACGATATCCCATCATTTCAGACTGCAATAATAAAGCGTAATCTTATTTTAGAAGAGAGCTTTACAGTCCTGGCTCCGAGTGGGCTATCTAGAGCAGCAGCTTCTCCCCTCCACATGACCTGCAGATGCCCCCTCTTCCACTCAGCCTCAACAGCTATGATTTCTCCCAGACACCTCCATGAAGCACATTCTTAATCCCTGAGACTGATCAGCTCCATCAAGGTGCTTTTTCAGCAGCATGCCACCGCCAGCAGCTCCTAATAACCGTTCAGTGATCATGAGCACTGCTTCACTACATTGCCTCCTTGCATTTTATTTTGCTTTTATTCCTTTCTTAAGCCCATCTGTTTCAATGTATTCTGCAGGGACAAATGCAGACACAATTCATCATTAATTTAGTGAATATATATCTTCTGAAAAGAACAGGACAAAATGTTCTGCAAAGATTGGCAAGCATCAGTGTGGCTCAGGGGTTAGCATGACAGGCTTGTGTCAAGGCGACGTGGGGACAAACATCAGCTCAACCACAGTCTCACTGACCTAAGTCTCTTCTACTCAGCCTCAGTTCTCTTTCTGCCGAATTTGAAGAATGGCTTATAAGGAGAAATGCAAGAGAATAATGATAGTGGCCGGAGGTTTGTGCCTTGACAAAGAGTTGAGCAAGTGTGAAGCTGTATGCATTTGCTCAGGATTCAGAAAGCCCAAAGACATACTAGAGACATATTGAAACATGAAACTTCCACTATATCATGCCACTATGAAATCTGGTATATAACACGGCATCAGCTTTAAGAGAATTTCAGGGTACATCCAAATCCCCAAACTTTCCCAGCCTGGTGCCCTCTAGATGTGTTAGACAAGTTCTGTCATGGCCAATTATGGGCACTGTAGTCCAAAACACTGAAAGGACCAGGCTGAGCAAGTTCCTTTAAGCTGCTGTGGAAGTACACTAACTGCGTTTTGCTAATACACTATGTAATTTGTCTATGATTTACCATATTTTTCGCTCTATAAGACGCACCTGACCATAAGATGCACCTAGTTTTTAGAGGAGGAAAACAAGAAAAAAATATTCTGAATCAAATGGTTTACTAAACTATTTAATAAACTATAACAGAATACAGTAATACCGTATTTCAACCTCGTAAAGTGAACAGCAGTCAACAGTGGCATTAAGAACCATCATCACTGTCATTAACAAAAGAGAGACTTTAAAGTTTGAGTACTCTTCTAGTTTTCGTTGAACCCATAGAACTCATCATTAGAGTCAGAATTTATGAAGCTCTGTTGCTCACAATCACTGACATCACTTTCTTAGTCAGTAGTGGAATTATTGAAGGAATCCACAATCTACACATTATACAAGAGCTGCTGCAGACAATTCAATAACAAATCTAAAAAAGCCAGTAATGTCCACGCTGCTCTACTAGTAAATAATAGAAAAAAACTTCTGACAAAAAATGAGATATTGTACAGTAAATCAAACACACAGCGGACTAAGTAGCCTTTGAAGAATAAACTTCATGCACAAAGGTAATGCTGTTCAAATATCCACTGATCCTAAAAAAAATGTGTCAGATCAACTAACAGATAACTGATCCATGGAAACCTTCCTGATAATCACAGGCACATTCCCCATCACTTCCCCATGGGCTTCATTAAAAGACGGGTTGCCATTTGAAAACACACACCGACCTGTGATTAACAGCTCTCACCTGCTCCGGAGGAGGGGGGTAGAGCAGGGTGCGCCGAGCGCATGCTGGCCAGGTGGTGCCACGTGGTGCAGGCGGCTGGCAGCGTGCTGGCGATGGTCTTCCGGGCAGCATGGCAGCAGCGGCAGGTCTTCCTGGGTGGTGGGGGTGAGCAGTCCGTCTCTCCGTGCAGCCGGTGGGTTAAAGGCCGCGGCTCCTCCTTCTCCACACGCCTCCCCTTGAGCGGCACAGCTCTCACCTGTGCCGGGGGGGGGGGG